TAATAGATGCCCGCACTGCGTTTACAGTAAGCCAGTCACAGCACACAAAAGATAAGCTAGGAAGCTATCAACAGGTCCTTTTGCAATGTCCACAGTGGCTGGTTTCTACAAGGGTTTCCCTTCTAGTTATGGAAGCGATACATAAGCTAGTGTGCCTTGCCTATCATAGTGTCTTGATCATAGTGTGTTTATCATAATTAACAAAGGGTTTATGCATAGTAAGCAGAATCATGGCCCTTATCTGTAACTTCCTGTTATAACAAAGGTGTTTGCCACAGCAGGCCACCATATTTTTCCACTTAAATGTGAGATGTCCTTTACCACACAAAGCATTGTTGCAACTGTACAGAGATATAGAACCTTCCACTGAGATTGCTCAAAACTATTAAAGATGAGGGGAAAGGAATCTGAAAGTCCTTGAATACATGAACTTTCAGTAATTAGTAAACCAAAATTGCAAAAATTTTAAGAGCACATTTGAAAGAGATGGCCAGCTGCTTTAATTCAGAGAAAGGAAAAAATTTGACACTATTTCCCCTGCAGCATTCCTTAATCCTCTCAATTCCCATAGTTCTTTCAGAGTGATTTACTGGTCTGCAGAACATGGAAATAGCTATTAAATTTAACATCAGCACTAAAGAGAAAAGATATCTTATGGTAATTGTGCAAAGTATAAACTATGTTCATTCCAAAGCAACATTTCCTCTCAAGTTTCAAAGGTATTTATTAAATTTGGTACATGCTATTCCGATTGAAGGTCATTACTGTCTGTTAGCAATTCTGTACATAGTCAGGTGCTAGTGAGCGTCCTGAGTAATATTACCAAAAATGTGGACAACCAAGCCTAAGCAAATTCTGCTTAAGTCTGTTCCTTTCAAGCTAACATACACATAAGCTGAAAATGTTTCCCCCCCCCGGTCTTTGAAAGGGATTCCAGTCTGGCCATGCATGGATGACTAATACTATATTCTCTTTCTAGTGGTTATATACTATATATTTTCAGTGTCTCCCTGTGAGCCAGCTGTGCTTTCAGGCATACCCAGGCAATTTCATGAACATAAACAAATGGAAAAATCTGGATCACCCTTCCAAGACAAGTGAACGCTGGACTTTCATAAACAGAGGGGAATAAACAGAACCAGTTCCTGTTTCTACTATGCAGTTCAATTTCCCCATTTAATGTGTATATAATCAGAGGTCTACCTTTGCATCTGAGGCAGAAATGCACACCATCAATCCAAAAGAAGAAGAAAAAATCCGCCCCAAAATAAACAGTCACAGTTCTGGTCACATTCTACATTTTGCTTTTCAATGCACCTGCCAGGGGAAAAATTCTCTACACTTTCTAGTTTCAAATACTGACATATAAGTAACTGGAAGGAACCAATAGAAGAATTACAACCAGTGCTGGTAAGCAGAAATCAGGAATGGCAATAGCCAGGAACACCCTGGCTGTGGCCAAAAGCATGAAAAAGTGGGAGTCTTTAAAAAAAAGAAAAAAGGAACAATATTCCACAAATCAGCAGACCAGTGTGGCATGGGCATTCACTGACCCCTTTACCCAGAACCTTCCCACAACAGAAAATATGAGAGCAGTTCTCTTACATCTAAGCAAGCTTCCTGGTACAGTGTTTGCCAAGCAGTTTTACAGGATCATGGTGGAAGGGAAGGGGCTAAATGCCTCCAGCAGGTTTAATGGGGACTTCCATAGCCCAATGAGTGGTGTTGCCCTCTCTATCCAATCCCTCTTACACACTCAGTTTCAACCCAATGCTTAGTCCTTAACTGATGATTACTAGGTACCAGAGTTGCTATTTCTAATGTTTTATTTATGCAGTAAGAAACCTACATTTTAAGTCAGACTTTTTTGTAAGAGTTTGGAAAGGATAAACCTATACACTGGCAAACTAGCATCTTCAAACTATCCAACTGGAAGAAGTTCACTTGAACAATGATAGCTCAGACAATGCTGCCAAATCCACAGTCTACAGAGGCCTCTAATTTACAAAGACGAATTTCCTTTGGGCTGAAATGTCTATGTGATATTTATTGCTCATGCTCTCATGCCACATATTTAGGAATAAATGTTATTGAGCCTTGATTGAAAGCTCTATAAAAAGTTGACTCCATGGGAAATCAAGATGTCTTCTTTTGGCCTTAGTTAAGTATGGATTCCATTCTTGTACATGCGCAGAATATTTTCAACAATTGCTTCCTTAACTTTCACCACAACTGTTGAGGTCATGTTAGCTATTAATTCTCCAGACTGTGAGCCAAAGGGAAACAGCCATTTGGGAAGTAGGGAGAAGGTAGCTCAGAGGGGCCTTCACTGAACAACATGATGAGTGGGAAGGCATTGTGTGGGAAAAGTTGACTGTAATGAGGAAGGCTGAAAGGAACACCTGACCAGGATCCAAACTGGAATATGGTGTCTCACAGTGTTATTCAAGAGCCAGCATAATCCTTCCTGTCTAAAACAGCCTGGAAATTCCAGGCCCCAGGGATATTAAGTTTGCTGTTACTAGAGCCAGGGCATTTTCGGTGGTGGCTCCTACCTGGTGGAAGGAGCTCCCGGAGGAGATCCGGGCCCTGCGGGACTTTTCTCAGTTCCGCAGGGCCTGTAAGACAAAGCTCTTCTGCCAGGCTTTTGAGTAGGAGCCGCCGCCACTTCAATTCCACCACCGATATGTTTGCAGCATCGCACCACCAGTGTTCCCTCTAAGCTGAGCTAGTGTGAGCCAGCTCACAGCTTTTTAGCCTCCGGCTCACACATTTTTGTCTTTGCTCAGGAAGGAGGGCTCCAGAGCGAACTGATTGATGCAGTAGCCAGATGGCTCGCTCACAACTTTAATGCCAGTAGCTCACCAAGCAGAATTTTGGTTCAGAAGACTCCACAGCTTAGAGGGAGCATTGCGCACCACTACCACTAATATGTGGTTCCATCTGGGTGTGAGGTGACCCTGGAAGGAGAGGGTGCTGACAAGTTGTGGGACCAATACCATTTGAAGAAGTTCTACCCCATCTTGCACTGACACTTTGTTGTTGTACTGTATTGTTTTATGGTTTTAGACTGTTTTATCTGTTTTAATTCTGGCACTTGTGCCTCGTTGTTAGCCGCCCTGAGCCTTCGGGGAGGGCGGGATATAAATCCAAAAATAAATAAATAAAAAAATAAAAAATAGGGTTTTAGTGAGGAGCTGTTGTCAAGCAGAGAGTTTTAAGCAGCCTCTGTTTTGGGACCTTATCAGATGAAGCAACCCTAAAGAAAACAAGGCATCAAAGCTATGATAGTTTCAGGAATAACTGGAGGCATTTACACTCTCTCCTCAGTTCTTTGGTGGCCAAGTTTCGCAGTTCACTAAAGGATACTGACATTGCTTAAGGCTGCACCTGAGCTACAGTGCTGCTCTGCTGGTGTGCAGCCTTTCCTTGAACAATAACCAAGAGAGGCACTGTAACAAATAAACAAACCCAGTGGACCTGAAGAATGTCATCTGTAAGCATGCTTTAAAACATTAACCAAGACTGTAAATAAGCTTTGGATAGAAGATATTCTCATTTTTAAAACATTCTTTGTTTTGTAAAAGGGGAATGAGAATCTACTGCCAATGGAAAGGTCAGTTTAAGTATGCTGGACTTTCTAGTACATTCCAAAATAATATTTCACCATTGCAGTGTAAAGAATTATGTACTGATTGGTTCTTGTTTGTGCATCTAAATCTCCAGCACTGTCTCCTTTGTGTACACATTCTCAGGCGAGTACACATAGTTTGGGTTATAATTTGAGGCTACGTACATATTTCTGTGGTTTAAGTCAATCACTCTGTGTAGCAGATCACACGTTATGGAGATGAGAAGAAAAAAGAGCTTATTGCCCAGTTTCCACCAACAGCAACACTCTGTATTCATAGAAATAGGTGCTCAGATGCTAGACCCTATGTCTAATGACAAGACCTGTATAGAGTACACATGGCTCATAACCAAAACACAGACATCTCTGATTGGCACCACCTATTCATCAAGCATTTAGCTACAACTGAAGATAACCTACAACTCTAGTGGAGCACTGTAGAGCAACTCTGGATATACATTAAGTATTCTAAGACAATGAAGTACCTTTCTTCCTATATCCACAATATGAAACTGCCATGAGCAACTCATGGGCGATTTCCAGCAACATCTTGTAAGAAAGAAAGAAAGAAAAGAGTCCAAGACTGGTTGTCCTGCAATGTACGTAGAAGTCCATGATGCACAAACATGATGCACAAATATAACTGCCATGCAGATGTGCTTTGAGGTCTCATGTCAAGAATACTAGAGATCATCCCAGATGTGGTCCAGGTAAAGGGAAAGGGAAAGGTTTCCCTTGCTCGAAAGCTAGTCAAATCCGACTCTAGGGGGTGGTGCTCATCTCCGTTTCCAAGCCAAAGAGCCAGCGCTGTCCAAAGACTTCTCCGTGGTCATGTGGCCGGCATGACTAAACACTGAGGTGCACAGAACACTGTTACCTTCCCACCAAAGCAGTACCTATTTATCTACTTGCAATTTCTTGCTTTCAAGCTGCTAGGCTGGCAGGAGCTGGGTCCAGAGACGGGAGCTTACTCTGTAACACGGCACTAGGGTCTCAAACTACCGAACTACAGACCTTCCGGTCTGCAGCTCAGTGGAGCTCTCGTTTTTTTTTTTTAAAAGGTAATTAATGGCCCTACATGGCTGCTTGTACCTCTTTTCCTTCTTATGGAACTAACTGCAACTTGAAAGGAGTTATTTAAATCACTGAAGAGAGACAGGAGGAAACATTAGAATATCACTTCCACCACCAACCCTTTCCTGATTTTGTATAGCTGCTAGTTGGCTTGGAGAGATCAAAAGCCAGTAATAATATCATGAATCTCTCATGTCATGTCTAATTTAGCATGATGTGCCTGAAAAGGTACAGAACTAAAAGTGAAAAGAAGAGACATCAATAATGTTTCAGAAGTTTAAATGTTTCTACTTACGGAGGCGTGACACCCTTCGGAAGTCCAAGTGCATTGACAGCAACAGGAGAAGGCTGAGATGGTAGCATGGAACTAAGGAAGGCTGCTGGGGATTGGGTGGAGTTGGAAAATCGAGACGTGGGAGATAGACTGCGGGAGGGTGATGGGACAGAGGTTGGGAGAGGAGGTGGAGGAGGTGGTGGCAGTGGGAAGGAATCAGCCACTGAAAAGGTGGACGTTGGACTAAAAACAGGGGGAGGTGGCGGTGGTGGTGAAGGGGAAGAAGGAGACCAGGAGTATTCCCCTTCAGGAGCAAAAGGCTGAGAGAAAGGGGGGACAGATGTTCTGCCGAATTGTTTCTGGGAAGCAGTGGGAGACATTGGGGATGGGAGGCTGGAGGTGGAAGATCCAGATGAAGGAGTCATGTAGCTTGAAGCAGGGCTGATGTTCTGGGCGGCAATGAACTGCTTAGGACGGGCATAGTTGAAGGAGCTGGAGGACTGCATAGTGGGAGCAGAATGAGAGTTGAGAACGCTCATTTGCACAGGAGGAACAATGGAGTGGCTGGATTCAAGTTCTTGGAATGAAGGTGGAGGGGGGAAAGATGGCGATGAGGGCAGGCTCTGGTAGACACCAAGTTGCTGCTGATGAGAACACTGACTCGCTTCTTTTTCCAGGCGGATTTGGTTCTGCAGCTGCTGAAGTCTTAAAGGGTCCCTGTACATACAAATAAAAAGGAGAAATCTGGTTAGAAGAAAGCTAATTTTTTGCTTCTATTTTTGCCCTGGGGTATGGAGAGAAAAGAGAGAAATACCTACCTGGCTCTCTGCAGGCAAAGCATTCCCAACTTCTAACCGTGGCTAACAGTTTTGGGAAAAGATGTGGCATCATGCATTTCCTCCCCCTCTAGCTCATTCCCTCTTGTGTGTAAATTCTCCCTCCCCTTCCTTCTGTGGCACTAACCATGATTAAGAGTTACATCAAATAACCCATGTTTGAAACCAGGGTGTGAAACTAGTTTCAAGTTGGAGGGGTTTAAAGTTACAGTCAGTGCATTGTTGTGGATAGATTAGGACTGGGGAGACCCAGGTTCTATTCTCTACTCAATCATGAAGCTCATTGAATATCCTGGGGCTTGTAACTCTCCCTCAAGTTAGCCTACCTCACAGTATTTTGTAAGGACAAAGGGAGGCAGCTTATGCAAAGCCTGAGCTCCTTTGTTGAAGGGTAGAATAAAGATATAATAGAACACTGTGCCAACTTTAGTTGAAAAAGCAACTGGTTAATACCTGTATTGAAGAAAAGCAGGGAGAATTTGTGCATAATATATGCTTAGGAAGGGACCATGCTCTTGTGTAGTACTGCCTATCTTGTAACCATGGATAGAGATCAGGAATATTATACCCTTCCAGGCTCTTAATCCAACTAGGTATGAACAGGATCTTTTATGCAAACACAGTATGCAATAAAAACATAGAGAACCGTTCAGAATGAAACAAATGCAAAACAATTAAATATGAATGCCTATGTGCTAAAACATAAAAGGTAATCATTTCCTCTTTTATCATCTAAAGTTCCAGCAAAACTTGTTCTCTGCTTTCTTAGGATGATAATGTTTGGGCATGGGTTAACTTTGTGAATTCTATGGAATGCCAGAAAGTAAATAAATCCTGCCACAGAAAAATAAAACATGACAGAATACAACACACACATGCAAAGTAATTCCTTTTAAGTTATACAGGATCATTTCTCACTAATCTGTGTCCAATTGTCAAATGTCTGAAAAAAATGCCACAGAGATCAGGGGGAGCGGGGTTGGCACATAGATAACACAATTTAGAAAAGTATTTGGCAACAGATGATGTATGCTACACAATACGCCTTAGTTATGTTTCTGCACTGTTGTTTAGCTCCAAGAAAGACTCTTATCCACATTCTAATTTGGAGGCATCTGTTCCTATTTGGGCAACTTTCAGTGATTTATTGAAGGCTGTTTCTCTAAGCAAGGATTAAACTCATTCCCTTCTAAGGCTAAGCACATATTTCAAGATACCTCCCTACATACTAGCTTGACAGCATCTTAAACTTAACCCTGTTTAATCCTCATAACAGACACACACAGGAAGGAGGAGACAGGTTACCTATCACCTAGTCCACAATGGAGCCAGGAAAAAACACACACCTAAGATTAGTGTGTTTTATTACTGTTGCTACTATCACTACTACCCCCAATGTCTATCCCCAATGTATATCTCAAGTTTGCACATGTCAAGTCTCTAAATGGGGCCACACAGGGCACCATGAAGGCATATTGCAATTTATTTATTGTTTGCATTACCTTCCAAAAGTACCAAAACTATCTGAGAATGATGCAGGCTACCTTCATGATGCTATGGAATCCTAGTGCACAGGCACAATAATCTTTGGTCACCAGGGCTTGCTGTTAGGCTGAAGGGAAATGGCAAGCTTGTCACTTCTTGTCCAGCCTGAAACTTCAAGGAAATTGACTTGTGTGTGTGTGTGTGTGTGTATGTGTGCCTTTATGTTTTCCCTAAGCCCAGTTTTCCCTCCGTCCATGTTGTGTATGCTGACCACCACTGGGGGGCCAGCGAACACCCCGAGCTTGAAGCAGGAATAACAATGGGGACTAGGATCCTAGTCCCTCCACTGGGGGAACCAATGGGACCGTGGCGGGAGATTCAAACCCGCCAATAGGACCCAGGGGTGTTCCCCTGGTTGTGTATATAGTTGGCCTGCCGACCGTTTGTTCCCTGTTCTTGTCGTGTACCTAATAAAGCGTGCTATGCACTACGTCGTTGTCTGTCGTCCATCCATGCGGCAACCCACTACTCAACAGCCCATGTCCCAAAGCTCTCTCTGTGTGTGTGTGTGGTAGGGTTGCCAGTTCTGGGTTAGGAAATACCTGGAGATTTTGGGGGTGGAGCCTGGGAAGGGTGGGGTTTGGGGAAGCGAGGGACCTCGGCAGGCTATAATGCTGTGGAGTCCATTCTCCAAAGCAGCCATTTTCTCAAGGAGAACTGGTCTTGGTTGTCTGGAGATCAATTATAATAGCCGGGGATCTCCAGGTGCCACCTGGAGGTTGGCAACCATAGTGGGGGCTAGGATCAGGGGACGAGAAACCAGACCTGGGGAACATGGATCTGCTGGCCAATTTTTTGCCCTGTAAAGGTAACACTGAACAGGAATGAAATTCAAGAGCATCTTTCAGAAGATGGATTCTTAGGAGGAGGAGGAGAAGAAAGCAGGGGAAATTCCCAATGAGGGGAGAAGGGAGGGAGGGAGGGAGGTGACTGGAGGAGGGCTGTACAATGAAAGAAGGTGAGAGGGAAGTAGATTGCGAAAGGGAGAGGAGCGCTCTGAGCCTTTCCTTTTCAAGTGGGACTTCATCTGTACAGTTTAATAGAGCCACAAGGCCAGAGGTAATTGATCTCCATGTTCATTCTTATCTTTGGCCAGCCCCCTCCAAGGCTGTGTGCATATGGTGTATTTCCACAGAAGCACAGAAAAGCATTAACAAAAACACACATCTGATTTAGATTAAAAAACAGCCACCAAGTTCCTAGTCCTTAAGGATGTAATAGGCTTGACGGTCTGTGGACAGTCCTTTGCAATCCCTTTGAAGCCAATGGCTGAAGACGATTCCCAGTGGTCAGAGGGTGGGATTCAGCACCCTGCACAATCCTGGTCCCTCTACATGACTAGCAAATGCAGAATAGATTTGAAATATAAGAAATAACGTAAGATTGCTTATTTGCACTGTCTGCTCAGGTTGCACCTTCTGTGCAGAACCTGATCTTTAAAAAGCCAGAACACAGAAAACCCTGGTTACGAGCAGTGAAGGTAAGTATTCAAAGCAAAATATTTCACACAATATTGTACAGAAATTGAGCTACCTAAACTTAAGATGCCTCAGCGCTGTCCTCACTTTTTAAAGCCACTTTGGGTCCCCACTGGGGAGAAAGGAGGGGTATAGACGAAGTAAATAAATAAATGTTATATGCAATCATTCAATAAAATAGTTTGTTTTCTCATCACAAAGGACCCTTGGAGCAGCTAAACACTTAAAACAGACATCGGGTCACAAACTGCGCTCTGTGTCAAAACACTCCCTGCTTCCAAGATGAGAGTAAACTTTTAACAGGAACACAGGAGTACAATAGCATAAAAGTTGACAGTGATAAAGAACAAAAGAGCCCAAACCAACCAACCAAACCAAGCGCAGTCCTTGACCCAGTTTAAACATGATACAGATGGGCAGGATCATGCTGGAGAATGTGGTCCTTCCAGCATCCCAGTCTGAAGCCTTTAGGGTTTAAAGTTTATTGAGTTTAAGCATTTCAGTCCTTCTCTCTCCTCCAAAGTTGCTTGAGAAGGCATACAAAAATTAACAAACCAGCATCTTGGAACTGGGCTCAGAAACAAACTGGAAGCCAACAGGGATGTAGCAGCACAGGTACCATGGGCTGAAACAGGTTAGCTCCCATCAAAAATGGAGCAGCTGCATTTTGGCCAAGTTGGCGTTTTTTAAAACTTTGCAAAGGCATTTCTGTGCCATGTGTTTTACGGTAATCTAAACTGGAAGCCACTAGGGCAAGTGGAACTACACAGCCAGACTAGTTGTGTCCAGTGTTCCCTCTAAGCTGAGTTAGTGTGAGCTAGCTCATAGTTTGTCAGCCTTCGGCTCACACATCTTTGTCCTAGCTCAGGAAGGATGGCTCCAGAGCAAACGAATTTATGCAGTAGCCAAATTGCTTGCTCACAACTTTAATGCCAGTAGCTCACAATGTAAAATTTTTGCTCACAAGACTCCACAGAAGGCACCCCCCCAAAAAAAGGAGCTATGACTACAGAGACTATAACAGCTATTCTGTTGTGGTAATGCTACCTCCTTAAGTAAAGCCCTTATCAAAGCAAAGATCAGCTTCATCCTTGTGTGGTCTTTACTGGAAGATTCATCTGACTGACTTGTTTATGTGCTGTCTATTGCAGCTGGAAAGTCCAGAATTTGACTCAAATCTGCCAGATGCTGTTGTGGGTTTTTTAGCTGGCGTTCACACCTTTTCCTGTATATATGACATATAAATATTTATAATAGTATGCATATACAACATTTATCAGACAGTGGCGCTGACAGCTATAAAATCTTGTCTTAAATACTGCCCTGTAAGCGGAGCATCATATATTACGTGGTCTTGACAGTTGCGGACTAGAACATATGTAAATGCGGTAGTAACACAGTAGCTTGCTTTTCATTATCAACAAAATAAACCCCCATTCTTAATTTTTTTTTAAAAAAAACAACTTTTTCCTGCAAAGCAAACTATTATATTATGCAGATACAAAGGCCAACCAAAGCTTCCACTCTCTTGTCCCCTCCTGTGACAGTGAATACTTTCAAACATTGAACACTTTCAAGAGGAGGGCCTTCTGATCAAGGGAGGCAATTTAAGAATGCACAGGTCCTATGCAAACAAAGCAAACTCTTGCAACATGGCTCCCACAGATTTCTGGAGGGACTGATACAGGGGAATGTCCTGCACTAGCAGCTGCCAGCCAAAAAGCTTTAGGAGCTTGAAGAAACAACCCATTTGGCCCAGCCTGATCACTAATTCAGGGTTCCTATTTAGAGTGCCTCCATCTTCGAAGAAGATCAGGTAAGTGGCAATTTGGGACAATGGCTTTGCAGTCACGGCTCC